TGTTCTCCAGTGCTGCATAGTGTTTTCGAAGAATGCAATGAATGATGGATGTATTTTGTACATGTGTAGAATATGTAGCAGCCAACTGTGTGGAACACTGTCGAATGCTTTTCTGTAGTCTATATATGCCATGTGTATGTTTCTGTGTTGTTTGTGTGCTTGTCGTAGAATGACTGAATCTATGAGTAACTGTTCTTTGCATCCCCTGTCATTTCTATGGCAATAAGGAAAAATCTGGATAATTGAAAAAATAATAATTGATAGTGAAAGACATGTATGTACAGTATGAATGATTTTTATTTGTCTACATTTACATATACTGTAGCTTCAATATTAAATTATTTTTTATTAAGAAATTCAATTATTGTTTAACTTCATAATTTTTTCACTTTGTTTTTTTATATCTGAGATCGTTTACTTTCCAACACCATATTTATTAGATACAGGACGTCCAGACTCACTGCATTTCAAAGCATTGATTATATCCAATTTGTCCTTTAATGATAATACAACATGTTTTCTTTTCGATAACATATCAGTAATATTAAAAATAAATACTGTATTTAAATCATGATCAAATTTTCAAGAAACGTTCGTATTAAATTTGGACTACTACTGACCAGTACTAACAGACTGCCTATTGTTTAAAGGCCCTCTGGTGGCGCAAGAAGACGGATTTTATAAAATACAGTAAAAAGCAATTGAAACTGTCAAATTTTTATTCATAAAAATGCAAACTATTTATTGTCTTATGACGAGTAAAATTTTTTGTTGCATTCATGGCTTTTAAGTAATGCATAAACCTTCGAGGCACAAGCCCCTCGGACCGCAAGGCCGTAGGCAGTGGTCCACATCGCCCATGCCTTATGCCGTGCTCTTGGCCACAGAAATGATGTAATTTCAATATAAATTATTTATAAATATGTATGTCAAGTTATATTTTTATTACGAGGCAAAATGTATTAAAAAGTTTATGACCACTGTGCCGGGTGAGACGTTGTTGCAACAAAAAAAGTTATGCGTTCCATCACGTACATAAACAGTATCACAATTTGCCAAGTGCAAATCAGCAAATTCGTAAAATTTTTGTTTATTTTGAACAATCCAGATAATCAAAAATTCGGATAATCGAGGTTCTACTGTATTAATTAATACATTAAAATACAATTTTTTAATTAGTAGTACTGTATTAATACTGTACAAAATTAATAAAATCAGTGTTTGACATGGCCTATTAAAACAGCAGACCTATACAGTACTTATACTTAAAAACAGAAACAAAAGTCATTGATAGCATTGGATCTATATAAACCAAACCTGTTTTACTGCTTGCTTCTGCATTATTTCAATTATTCAGCTAATCTGAACAGGATTCGGTCCCAATTAGTTCAGACTAGTGGGATCCTATTGTATTTGTATTGTGATATTTATACTCTCTTTAATTAAAATGATAGTTTCCATAACTCAAAATTTTGTCAACTTGAAAAGCTTTCTCTATCCATCCATCCATCCATCCATCCATCCACTTCAAGTTATCATGAGTCTACTGTATTAATAATTCTGAAAAGTAATATTTTGTTGTTAATACTTACCATTGCCTCACTGATAAACAACAAAAGTAAAATTTCTTCATTTTCATCTTTTGGACAAAATAAACTGTAATTTTAAAAGTTTATTTAATTAGAAAATGTATGTGTACAGTTTAAATACAAATACAATTAATTTTAAAAATTTATTATTTTTTTCTTTATTCTATTGCACACATTAAGCAAAACTATATTTAATTAATATATCATAAGTTTCCATCCACAATAACAATTTGGTCAATCACCAAAGAAGGAATAATACACCCATTGATAAAAAAAATGACGCACCTAAGTAGAATTGTCCAATTACTGCAAAATTCAACACATACAGCTATGTAAATATCCAATAATTATATTTGCCTATAGCATGCCAGATGACACCACCAGTATCTTAAAATTATTACCCCGTATCCTATAAAAAGACTTGTAGAGGCTCTCTGTCTTATTAAAAGTTTTAGTGTACAATACACAGTACCTGTTGTTTGAAGGTCTTCCAATGACAAGCATGCCTGTACAATGCAATCAAAGACATTATGCACAGTTGACAGAGTTTGACAAAGGCTGCATCATCTGACTGAGAGAAGAATGATTGTTTTTCCAAATTCCCCCATTATCTGGGTTGTTCTGACCCAACTGTAAGCAAATGTTGGGGACAATTGATATGTCAGGGCACACATACCTGCTTACAATTGCTTAATAATATTAGATAAACAAAACAAACAACAAATGTTATCTAGCAAAATTTTTAGAACTAGCCAAAATTCAACATTTATTACTGACATGAAGACTAATATAAAATAATTTTTAGAGCAATTATTCTTATTAGTAATATAAGAGTAATTTTTAAATAAAAATTGAAAAGTTGCATGTTAGTCTAACTTGATACTTAATGAATTAAGTACTATCTAGCAAGTAGTATATCTTCAAAAATAAAGCAATCAAAACATTGAGTGGATACTGGATTTTTACACAGATTTTTTTTCCTCTGTGCACTATATACACATTTCAGTGTTTTTGTCTTTAAAGCCAAAACACTTATATTTAGTATTACTACTACTCCAATGTGAGTTGTTATAATTTTTAAATCTTATATAATTGTATTGAAAAAAAATACACAAAAGATTGGAAAAGATTGAAAAATTATGTAAGATTGGAAAATTAATTCGACCCCACTGTTTTAAGTAATTTAAACTTTTAAATAATTTTTAACTTTTCCTTCTTTTGCATTAATAAGAATGTTACTCTCCATAAAAGAGAAATCCACAACAACAGAAAATTCTGGCTGTAGCCAATGTAGTATTAGTGGTGGGGCTTGAATGCTCTGAGAGAAGATGTTATCATTGAGATGTGATTATTGAAAAAAGCAGGGGAAAAGAGAGAGAGGTTTTTGAATGGAGGCTGCCAAAAAGGATCAGTTCTCTGTCATAGAATTTCATAAATAAATATTTGCTTATTTTTTGTTACAATTGTTGGATTCACCACAAAACAAATCAGGTATGACAACCATCAACATGATGGTTGTTGTACCTGACATCTATTTTAGTCAGATTTTATTGCATTAACTTAGATCAGCACTTGGTACATTTCTAATCACAACTAAGTTTTGGATACATATATGACACACAAATTAATAGAATTTGAAAAACTAATTGACAAATAATTTGCATTGAAATAATTTCAAAAATAAATTTTAAAGATGTTCAGTTAAGATTTTAATGTTTCCAATTTTTCTTTAATCTAATAAATGACAAACCATTTTTTTTCATCAAGAAATGATTACAGTTTAGAACAGAAGATCAAACAATATGAATTATCAAGTAGACAATCAAAACAGAATGTGTCTTTAACTATTCTGAGTGTCAGAGTATTCTGAAAATTTAAAAAAAATAAATAAAAATAATTTTTAATAACTTACACAAAAAATTTTTTATTGAAAAATATCTTTAAATCTTAGTCTGAAGAAATTAAAATAACATCACTCTAACAATTTCCTCACTTTTACTTTTTTATTAATTGTTCCACTAGTAGCAAATCTACTGTGTGATTCTGCAAGAATATTTTTATTTTTAGCTAGAACTTGTGTGTTTAGATAATCTTTTAATTTTTCAATTTAAACACATGTAGTAAATAA